TGACATACAACTGGGTAGAGACAAGCTAAGTAAGAGAGAGAAGAAGAAGAAGAAGAAGAAGAAAAAGAAAGAAAAAAAAAATTTGTTTGTTGTCTAGAAAATCCTATTTTCACTTTAAAACTAATATTTCAATTAACATCAATGTCGTTTAAGATAAGATAAAGTATTATTTTTATTGTAGTTACTAACTATCTCTCTTATGACAAGTGCTATGAATCTATTCTATTATCAATCTCATTAATCAACGTATTTCGAATGATCATCGGTACGCAAAATGTGCGCACAGTTGCACTTATGTTCATTGTGCTTATTTATTTAATGCTTGGTGCTGCTGTTTTTAATGCTTGTAAGTATTTTTTCAAAATATAATATTTAACAAAAAAGAATATTCTTCTTTTAATTATTTTAGTGGAATCTAAAAGAGAAATTGCTAATCGTCTTATATATAAACAGAAAATAGCTCGTATTCTATATAGAACTGATACAGTTCCAAATGAAACTCTTTTTGTTAGTTTAACTACAGCAATATTTGAAAATCGACATTTTCGTCGTGGTACAGCTAAACAATGGACATTTCCAGGTGCTTTCTATTTTTCCACATTAGTTGTAACTTTAATTGGTAAATTTTTCAATAAGAAATGATTCTTAATTAATATTGAAATTGTTTTAGGTTATGGTCAAACAACACCAAAAACAAGTACGATTCATTTATTTCTTATAATAAAAAACTTTTATTTTCTTTTTTCTTAATTTAAGTGGGCGGAAAAATATTTTGTATGGTCTATACCGTTGCCGGGGTGTAAGTTCATCTAATCAATTATATATATATCGTTTTTAAATATTTTTCCTATTCAATAGGCCTCTAAATTTAATTATGTTTCAATCCGTTGGCGAACGATTGAATGCTATTATTTCATTCGTATTATCACGTCTAAAACGTTTCTTAGGTCTTCGTCGACAGAAAGTATCCGGTTTTGAATTGATCGCTGTAGAATTTGGTATGACAACAATGCTTGTACTCTGCGGTTCAATTGTTTTTAGTACATATGAAGAATGGACATATTTCGAATCAATTTATTATTCTCTTGTTACTTTTTGGACTATTGGTAAGTATTGAACAGATACATATGATTGATATAACAAAATATTTATATAAATAGGTTTTGGTGATATGGTACCATTGGCTAGTTTACAACGTAACGGTCATTCATTGTATTCTCGTTGGGGATATTTTATATTTACTATGTCATTTATATTATTTGGACTAGCACTTGTAGCTTCTTCATTAAATTTATTGGTACTTCGTCTTGCTCAGTTTCATTCCGAGAATGGTATTGGTGGTATATCAGCTCTTCTTGGTCGTAATGAAGAAGAACTTATAGCTGCTGCTATTGCTGAACATCGTGCATCTATTTGTCCTCAACAACGTAATCGTATATGTTCGAATACAAATAGTCTTAATCAATCTCATAAAGCATTATCACCATTTCTCTCTCTAAAAACTAATTCACGATGGTCATTATCATCATCATCATCAACATCATCGGATAAGAAATCAGATTTTATTGTAAATTCACATGATAAAACTTGTTGTTCTGCATTTTCTTGTCTTAATCGTGGAAAACGTAAACGACGATATTGGCATTTACGACGTTCGCCTCAAAATATTAAACATTTACTCTATTTCAATCAACTATTGGATAATAATAAATTACAATTTGTACGTAAATCATTGATTTCTAATCAATATCATCAACATCATCAACATCATCATCATCAAATTACAAATCACGTACCTCGAATAAACTCACAAATGCAACATAGAATATCAATTTAAGTTATTTTGATTCGTGTCAGTAAAAAGAAAGTGATGAATGCCACACTAAATCACTAATATCCATCTGTTGGTATATGTGACAAAATCAATGTGCTCTTCTCATATTACATTTATATATATTTATATATATATATATGTGTGTATATGTCGATCTTTCTTTGACTTTTGACATATGTTCTTGATTGCTATATTTATTGGCAATATATAACAAAATAGAAAGTATCAAAATATGTCATTGTTGATTTCTAAAAAAATTCTTTTGTTAACAGAAAAAAAAATGTTATTCATTAATGATAGTTGTGTTCATTTATTCTTTTTACATCCATATTTTCAAAAAAAAAGAAATATATAATTCTTATCTTTTAAAAAAATGAAAGAAATTTGAACGGAAAAAAGATTTATTTTCAAAGCTGCTTTTTTCTCTCTCTCTCTCGCTCTTTCTCAGTGGTTTATATTCAAGCTGTGAAAAATCTGCTTAACGATCACATATATTATTTGTATATAAATCCATTTAAGAATTCTTTGGATAAAACTAAACTTGTAATATAAAAACCAAATGATATGTATATTTTCAATCCATCATAAATTTCTTATTGTTGATTTGATGTTTGTTTTTTTTACTAATTTTCTCTTGTATCTTTAATTTTGTTATATATATATATAGAAAATGTGACGCATGATACATTTATTTTAATTAAATATAGTTATCATTGAATCATAGCTTATTTCATGTGTATTGGATAGAAGTGTGAATATATATATATATGTTCATTTGAATAATTACTATCGTATACATTACTGAACAAAAAAAGAAATCTATTTATCACTTCATAGTATCTATATGAAAATAATTTGTATTTATTCACATAGATTCCTTAATGAAAGAGAAAAAAAACATTATAAACCTTGTTTTTGATGACCTGTAAGGAGCATACTTCATATGACTATTACGATAAAAATTTTTAGTAGATAACATAATATGTTGTTTATCAATGCTTCATATAACCGAATAGAACTGTTTATCTTAATATCTTTCTATTATCAAAATCGAAATTTTTCTTAGAAAAAATGTTAGCTTATTTTGTAATTATTCTAATGATATTCTAGAGTCTATTTTTAATGTGCATTCGAGGAATTATTTTAACACCGCAAGTAGCAAATGAATATCACGACTGTAATTTTATTTTTGTATCTTGTGTACTATGACCTTGTTTCTAAATATACACATCAGTATTTCATTAAATTTAAGATATTATTACCTAGATTTTTCCCATTGCGATGTTTTCTTTTTAACTTAAATCAAATATACTTAAAGAAACTATGAATTTTTCCTGCTTCTTTTTTTTTTATTCACACACAAGGAAAACCACAAAATACATAGAAAAAAAAGAACACACTATATATTATACAATAACATAAAGAAAAAACAAGCGAAAGACACACAGAAGAAAACGGTGTTGTTGTTTTTATATTTTTTTTATTTTTGACAAATATATAAGTAATGTAGAAGAATCATCACCAGGAACGATACTATTAACGAAAGAGACAAATACAAATCATCAGTATAATACAGTAACAAGAGACAAAAGTCAAGTATAATAGGAATGTCAAAAGAAACAAAACAAACAAGAAATCTATGTTATTTTTTTTCAATGTTTATAGATGCGTTTGTCAAAGATAGAAATAATTGAGAAAGAAAAAAAAACAAAGCGTCTGCGCAAGTTTTTTTTTTTAATTTCAGAAAAAAATGTTTTATGATTTTTTTTTAGTTGCAGTTTTAAATCTATATAAAATTTTCTTTCAAAAAGAAAACAAAAAAAAAATTTCTCTTCATCATGATTAATTGAAAATAAGTTTTACATGAATAATTAGATTCTCTTAGAAAAATATGAATTGTTTGTTTTTTATATTTACTGTCTTGATTAAAAGAATTAATTACGACGATGTGTTACTGTTTGTGGATCAATATAATTTCGTTGGCCATGATATAATACATTTGATGATTGTCGTTGTGGATGATGATGATAATGATTATAGTGATTTCTATATGAATTTCCACGATATCCATGGGATCTTGATGGCGAAGACTAAAAAAAGTAAACAATGATATTGTATACATAAATGTTTTTATCTAGATTTATTCTATTATTTATAAAAGAGATGCAATAAAAGTTTTAAATAATAGGATTCAATTATTATCGTGACAAGAAAACAGGTTTCTCTGTAATTCTAATTATATATGGTAACATGCTAGTCAGATTATTATTTCTCTAAAGAATTTCTTGTGTATCATTAATACTTTCCGAACTCAAGTTAATCATATCAATAAGTATTATTTAACTCGTAACTATAAGAGAATTTTTCTTTAATTTTAATTGAAATCGTATGAACTCTGTATAGAAAAATTTATTTAAACATTGAGATGAAATATTTGTGAAATTAAATCTTTTTTGTAAAGAAAAAAAGGTATTCTAATTAATTTAATATTAAAATAGATGAAAAAAACTAATAATTTTAAAAAAAACTTGTCGGTATATCAAAGAATAGAATAATTCTATTCTATCATGTTGTTCAACAGGATGTAATAATTAATCGCGTGTTCTTATCTCTTATACGTTAAGCTACGGAAGTCAACTCAATAGGGAATAATTAAAATATTGTTTCTAAATATAAATCTCATCTATAAAGTTGAATCATATGTGTAAAATATGAAAAAATAATTCGCTAACTCAATTTATTTTTTTATAAAAATTTATATAACAATTTATTCTAAACTATTATTAAAAAAATGTACATACTGGTCGATTTGAATTCAATGATGGATTATGTCGTTGATGTTGAGGATTATATACATGATATTTTTGAAGATGTTGACTGTCTTGAATAAATAAATGTTCATATTCACAATGATAATATTCTTTTAAATAATGAATATTAAATAATAATAATTCTCTATCTTCATGTGCTAAACAAACAGTACTGTCTTGTATAACTTGTGCTAAATATTCAAAAAATAATAAACATAATCGTGCATTAATTAAATCAATTTGATCGATTTGTTTCGTATCATATTTGGAATTCATTAATTGATTATGTAAATAAGAACGATATTGAAATATTTCATTCATATTATTTGTTATATGTAGATTACTTAAAATTGATGATGGTAAAAAATGTGTAGCAACATATTGTGCAATAACATGTATTTGTTCAGTAATTGTTTTATAATCAATAAAAAATCTTGAACACATATATCGTTGCATATGCATCATTATTGCAACATCATAAAGTTTATAATTGCGTGATAAAAGATCACAGTATTTCTAAAAATAGATAAAAGAAATAATTTATTAAATCTAATTATAAGACTTACTAATAAACCACCACCACGCATTGTTTCAGGTTCATAAGTAGCAATTAATTTATTATTTAAATGATGAAGAGCTTGATGTAAATCTTTATAAACCGAATGCACTTGTGTTCCTACTGGTATCGAAGAAGATATTACACTTGTTGAAGATATATTTGTATCAACTGATGAAGGGAATAGTTGATCATCATCTTCAGTAGTTGAATCATCAGCATCAGCTTCAATTCCATCATCAACATCTTCATTAATTGATATTTGAAACTGTAGTGAGGAATCTGATTGATTATCATCATTTGTAGAATCGAATACTTCAGATGTACGTGAACGAGATTCAGATGTTGCTAAAATTAAAAAACAAATATATATAGATAACTTGCTTAGAAATACCAAGAAAAGGATGAGCAATTGCCAAAAGACAACTGCAATAGTCAGTACTGCTAAATTCATGCTATCCTACTGCTGCTAATTTCGGCTAAAATACAGAGAACTGGTTATTATTAACAATAGCTACGCTGTCTTCAAAATTTATTCTCTTATTTAACGAAAAGATTGAAATTAAACATGAGAGCAATAGTTTAAAGAATTTACTAATTGAGAATAACCACTAGTGTTCTATAATTATGGTTTTTAGTAGAAACGAAATATATCTTAAACGGATTACTTCAATATTTTAAATAAAGTTTAAGTGTTAGATATATAATATTATGCCCAGACGAAGTCGTTAAAAAATGACTATTATTAAATGTTAACGGTGATTTATTATATATATATATATATGTCAACTGCAACTATCAAGATAAATTTCTTAAGAAGGTAATAGATTCTCTTATGTAATATCCTTTTATACTCATATTAATTTTTTTCAATCAAAAATTTCTAAATCGGATGTTGTTAGTTATGATCTGTCGATATGAAGTTTTATTTATATAAAATCGGAAATGACTTTTTCTTTTTATCAACATAAAATAATTTCCTTTGAAATTTAATCGATGAATTTTCTTCATCTATAGAAATAATTGATTAGACATCTATAGAAATATCATGGTTACATATTCATTGTCAAACTTACCACTACTTTTTTTTCTTTCTATTGTTGTTATTGTCGCAAGAGTTTGACATTGAATATTATTTTCATTATCATTAACATTTGGTAATGATGACGGTGTAAAAAATCCAAATTGTATTGGACTTGTACTTGCATTTGACTGTTTATTTTGTTCTTTTTTAATTATTGTAACACCATTAATTGCATCAATAACTAAACTTTTTGTTTGAATTTGTTTTGTTACTGTTTCGATTTTTTCAAATAATAATGGTTTAAGATCAATTTGAAATGAATCAACACTAAATTGCCATTGTCGTTTAATATTCTCAACAAATTTTAATTCAAGATTTTGTCCTAATAAATTTTGTAATGATAATAATGCCCATGAATCTTGTTCTGATGTTATTTTTATATTCTTTTTTGTATATGTATCAAGTACAGATGAGATAAAATATTGTGTACATGTTGATGCATTTGGTATATGTTCAATTAAACATGACGATATAATATACTTAATAATTGTCCATACATCACATAAATACGGTTCATTATTTGATGAAAATAATTTTGTTTGTTGTTGTGATGATAATGGTGTTTTTATTTGAAAAACAATATCAATATCACGATAAACAAAATCGGAATCATTTACAAGAACATAAGATGCAGCACCACCATGTAAACGAATATTTAATATATCAATTGAATGTTCTTTTAATTTTAATAGAATATCTCGAAGAAAATCTTTTGGAACAATGTGTAACGTTGGAAATGATGATGTTGGTGGCGATGGATAAATAGGAATTGTTGGAGTTAATACACGACGTAATTTATCATTTTGTTCTGGAGTTAAATAAACTGGTGAAACATGCATTGTTAAAAAAAAAGACGAGTGTGAGTTGTTTTTGAATATCTGAAAAAAAAATTCACATATAAATAGAATCATATGACATATGTGTGTGTAGGTGTTATTGCGCAATTAAATGTAATCTTTATCAACCGCGGAATTCTACAAGAAAAAAAGAAACAGGTAAGAATGGTAAATATCTTATTTGAATTGAAATTATTGTCATACGTATATATATGAATGATTTTATTTTTCTTGAGAAGAAGTGACGAATGAGAGAGTAAGAGAAGAAACGACTAGTCGTTTCGATATTTTTTCGAGAGAAAGGTAATGCATATGATTGGATGATAGAAAGACAAAATTACAAACGACATCTATCTTTTGGAGTATTTTATACACATATAGAATGAGGAAAAAAAGAGAAAATATCCTTGCTGTCATCGCCATATTTATTAATTGGTTTCGTGAATATAATGGGTTTAAGGTACAAAATATTAATAAGGTCATTGAATGATCTGATGAGAAGAAGAAAAAAATATATATCATCCTTACCTAGCTAAGAAGAGTATTCATAGTCTATGGAATTATATTATTCAATATTCAATAGTCTTACCTCTCGTACATGAGTATTATATTATTTTTTCTACGTTAAAATCTAAGAAAAAATAAGCATTTTTTGTTGTAACTATTTTCTTGTCGTTAAGAAAAATTCATCAAACATTAAACTATACAAAAAAAAACATATGACTTCAACATAAACAACCATGCATCACTTAATTCAAAGTAATATTTGTTATTTAATTAAATTTGATAGACTATTTTTAACATATGAACTTATATATACACTTAACTTTCCAAGAGGACAGAATACAAGTCTGAGAACTTTATTTATATTTCCAAAATAATTGTTTCTATCCTAGATAAACTGTTGATATTTATACAATAGAAAAATCCCTAGAAAATATATATATATTCATTTAATAAATTATTTTTTATTTATTTGTTATGTCATGTTTACTAACAAGCGTTACATGTATGAGTAATAATGTGTACAAAACGTAAATACGTCATTATTAATAGAAATAAAAGAAAATGTAAAAGATAGTGTAACCTCGAAAAATAAAAACAATTTATTTTATAAATAGAAACATGTCATAGAAATAAAAAAGAAAGACGCCATTGTTTTTCGTCTTTAAAGTAATAAAATATTTTTCTTACTTTAAAGGTAACCTGGTTTAATATATTCAGAAATCAATATGATTCCTGTATATTTTATAAATAGAAATAAATGAAGAATAGAGATTGTATATTAACTTTTCATCATTTATTAATAATATTTTTTTGTAAAATATGACATGCTCTGTATAGATAAATATTGAAAAAGAAACGACTATATATATATATATAGTTGATAAGAAAGAATATGCTAGAATAACATTGAACGAAAGAGAACAACATATCGGAGTAAGATCGATAGCGGATAGAATCTACTGGAACATACTTGAACGATTACAAAGGAAAGAAAAAAGAGAAGAACATGCGTGTACTTTATATGTACAACTATTACGAAGGGCAAAAGAAGAAGAAGAGAAAAATTCCAAGAAAAGTAAAAGTACATAAAAAATCCTTTATTTAACATAACGATGAAAAGAATATATCGATATTTTCATAGGTACACTTTGAACGAGTGTACGTTCGAAAATCTTGATATCCTATATTCTTAGTCATAAAATAATTTAGTATATTTTAAATCACAATAGGGTCTCTGATGTACATAGAGTTAGTTATTATAGACTACTTTGATAACATCATTTATCTGATTTTGATAGTTTTAAAATGGATTATTTCTATTTCATTTTTATCTGCATCATTCATCATCGAGTAAATTTAACCTTGATACGACTATCTGTAATCTGTTTGAAATTTGAACGTTTCATTGTATAGTATCATGAATGATCTATGTGTACCCTAATGATACTAGTTAATTTCATTCCTTCGCTATTGATCTATTGGCAGAACCTTTGTATCAATGATCAATAAATCAAAATTTTCTTTTTTTCATTGGAAATAATTAAGACTATCAGTTATCTTGATAATGATTGGCTCTAAATAAAACTATTCCGTATGGGAAAAAAAGATTCTTGGATTCAAACTATTATTAATTTATTTATGCTTTCTTCTGTAATAATCGATCCATTATTATTATTAAATATAGAACTTACATCTTTGATTGTCTATGAAAAAACTAATTCTTATAAATGACATGTATGTGGCAACAGCATTAAAAAAAATACATTTTGTCTTTGAAGATATTTTAACTTACTCTCAAATTGATGATTATTATCACACGGATGGCACATGATGTTGCAATGCATATGATCAACATAATTTGTATTATATTCCAATCGATAACTTTTCTTATTATGACCTAGACAATTGTATATCGTATAGATTAAAATTTTTGATACTAGTAGATATTCCTGAACTTCACATATTAAACTACTTAGTTTGGTTTCGCCGCTGTTTAAAATATTAATATGCTTTTCTACTGTCATTCATTTCTTCAATATGAGCAAAACTCCTCTATCGAAATTGTAACCTTACAAAAAAAACTACCTCTATCTCTTTGTTTATGTTATTTATTCGTTATGAATAATGATGGAACTTTAAATGGAAATTTTTCATCAAAATTAGTTGTAAACTATAAACAAAAAGTTCTTCACTCATTATCCTTCATCTTTCTTCTAATTCATAAACACCTCACTTTCAATACGAAAAAAAAGAATCACCAATCATATAATGCTCTTATATTTAAATTTTAAAAAATATAAATGGAACATTACCGACAAAGAAATGATTGATTTTAACCATTTACATAAAACTGAACATTCAAAAGGCATCCAGTAATAATAAAATTTGTGTTTTGATATGACAACTTGTTGTTTTATTTCGTTTTTTTGTGTTAATTACTCCCATATAAATGTCGATCTATTTATCTACTACAAAAAATGAAAAACTCTTCTTCATCATTATCTAAAACATCATGTTGACTTAAAATAACTAGAATATCGATTAATTTAACAAAAAATAGTTCAGTCAAAGCAAGGTTGAATAACATATAACATATTGCTGGTTTTTTATATCAAATATTTGTATCAATTGATGTCTCTTATGATTTTCAAGCTTTGTTCATTTATGAATTCAACTAAATTGATCTATTACATAACTTAGATCAATATTCTTATTCTTTTCATTGTATATTTTCAATACAAATATTACTAAACATTTTATTTAAGCTAGTTCAGTCAAAATCGAATGTCTATATTGTTGTGTGAAATGATATACGGTAATAATTAGGTAATTAAAGATATGAATAAAGTGAGAATAGATATTTTATTGAAATTGCAAGAATACAATATTAGAAAAGTAAGAAAAATATTTAGAAGATGAGAATAAAATGTCTTGTTTTATTGTTTTGACGAAAATGATTGTGCTCAACCAGAAGTAATAATGATAGGTGAACATTGAATAACAATAAGACTGAAAGTACACTGCAAGTTCTGAAAACAATAAATTTATGAGTAAAATGTGATTAAGAAAAGGAGAATAGATTCTAATAACATACTTGACAACAATACATGTTTTGTTGACATCCTGTAGTTTGAGTACCCATGGAACTATTGTTGTTGTAATTACTACATGCTACTGAAAATATGAATAAAAATAATTATTTATTTACAAAAGAATGTAAAAACAAAAATGAAACATACATTGTTTATTAGTCTGCGTATTATAAAACATTGATCCAGCGTTGTTGCCATTTTGTAACTGGGCAGTATCTAAAGTAATATTATAGTCGTTATAAAACAAGAACGAAAAAATAAACTCTATGATGAAAGATAGTAAAATCTAACTTTCAACATGATAAATCATTAAACTTACTGGAATTCTGAGCGTTATTGCAACAGTATTGCGTTCCTGTGGTACACTGATTAGTAGTAGTAGATGCTGACTGTGATTGACTGTTGAATATACTACTACTGCGTTTTTGTAATGGCGATGCACTAATGGCAATCACAATAGCACCAATAATCATAGCACATAAATATTTTGAGATTTGCATTGTTAATATCGACTAGTAAAATTTGATTGTTGATCAGTTAACTGGTAAATGTTGAGTGAATGAGATATATTATGTATAGATTTTGAAAGGTGTTTATATACAAAATATATGATCATTGATGTGGAAAAGAGTATGCTTTTGTTTAATCTTCAAACGTCAATCTTATGATTTATTTTGTTGAATTGAAGAAATACATACAAAGAGAATCATATCTGGTTTTGGTCATAATTATTGGCTGACGTCAAAAACAAGATTATATTTAACATCAGCATAGTTAAGAGAGTGTATTGATGACGTTATCTTGTTGTGTATTTGATGAGTGTATAATATGTATTTTTATAATATTCATGTTTTACAAAGGAAAGGAAAGAAAAGAAAAGAAAGAGAGTTAAAGGTGGAGAAATGAATATAGAGACAAAAGGTGCACTTGATAATATGAAAGAGAAATATTAGACTTATCTCTGTACAAGTCTGTGATATTTTTAGATGTGAAAAAGAGACAAAGTGAATGTTGATTTAGATCTTAAATGTTTTCTTGAAAAAAGAAAATCAAACGACGACATTGATGCACTTAAAGAAATTTTTCAAAATTTGTTAGTTTAAATGATAAAATTGATGTGTGTGAACTAAGCAACATCACTAAAATGGTTAAGGTAATGAATCAGGAAGTTCCTTAAACATGCTTAATAGCTCCGTCGAGAAAGCACATGAGAAGATAGTAAAATACGTCAAGCTTTACTACAAATACGAGCGGAAATGTTATTATAAGTTGTTGATTAAACAATTTGTTAAAATGACAATAACAATCGATAATAATATCAAAATGATCTTAAACGAAACTCTAAAAAATATTCTTTCAGCTGAACAAACTCAGATATTTTCTATGAAAGCTAATTATTTTGCAGACCTGCGTTTATGAAGTAATTGGTATTTACGGTCTCTCATAAAGATTGTACTCATCATTTTTATTTTATTTTAATATCAATATGATAGAATAAATGATATCTAATTGAAAGTTTATTTAATCTTCTTCAACAAAAAAGATGACCTTCATCAAAACTCAGTCATATTTTTATAAAACTAATCTGTGACATAATAATAAACTGGATTAAATAATTTCAAAGAAAATCTTGTATAATAATTTCCTCTTGCGTTCTGCTAGAAATATGCGTGATGAGTAACATTTTTTTTCTTTTAAATACTTTTGTTCTATACATGTAATATTATATATGATCTAATGAGAATACCGGAAAATAATTATTATGTTCAGTAAATGAATTAATTAAATAGTATATATTCAGGTCATCGGTTTGTGTAATACTTTATATTTCATTGAAACTATAAAAGATGATTTAAAATGTTTATTGAATGAATAAAATAAAAATTTTCTATATGACGCTTTAGTTTTTATTTTTATGAAATAATTAAATAATTGAATAATTTGATTAATTACAGTCCATATAAACTCAGTATTACTCTAGTACTAACATCTATCATTTTTATATGAATTTTGTTCCATGTATATCACTTTAGAGTTCTGGTCTAGTGAATTCGGTTAAACAAAAACAAACAACTGAAAAATAATTCATTTATGAATGATCTTAAAATAACTTTTAACTTCTTTCTCTCTCTCTATTGTTCGTTATTATTGTTTGTTGTTATTATGGCGTGTACTCTAACCAACAATTTGATGTGTTCAAAGCCTCTTCTTTTTCTTTCCGAAATATATGCAGAATTATTTATTCAGTCTTTTATTTAATTCATACCTTGAGCAATATACTTTTTTATACTCTATGTCCATTATATAATGAAAGTTTTTCAATACTTAACTGAGAGATGGCTTTACTTCAATATAAATATCATTATTTTAACACAAAAATATTTATTTACACTGTATAGTATAATATCAGAAAGATTTCTTTTAATTAATTTACTTTGTTTCGACTTTTATATAGATAAAGTAAATTTAAAGATGAGATCTTTCAAAATAAACATGACAAAGTAATTTATTAACTGAATACTAAAAACAAATCGATGTGAAAATAAGAAAGGAGAAGAAATACAAAAGATATGTTATTTAATAGCTTATTTTTGATTGTAGAAAATGAATTATCGATTATATGTTTTTGTTTTCTGTTACAAGTAAAAATATTCTTTTATTTATTTCAGGTCAGTACGATGATGATGATGAAGAAAGATTTCAGAAGAAAGAAGAATTTTATATTTTTGAAATAGATAAATAGATATTTATATAAAAGTAATTAAGAGAGAGAACAAAACGAAGTTTTTATAATTTCTTGATGTCTTTCGATCAAGTATTATGAGAGACTTATTGTGAAATTGTACTATCATTTGTATAGTTCTATTGAAAGTTCTGCTCATTAATCTATCAATAATAATTACTAGCCGATGAATTTGTTTGCCATTTGAAATGGAATGAAGTACACTGTTTGTTAAAATAAACAATTATTTTTACTTATTATTTCTGTTGAATCAGTGAGTATTCTCTATTTAGCACAAAGATATATTAACTTCCATTCTGTGGGATGTATTTCTATGATATTTGTTGTTGAAATTAGAGTTGTTCTCTATGAAAATGAAAATCTTCTAGATAATAATTCTTCAATTTTTATTCCATTTTCTATCAATGAAAGGTTGAAATGTTGTGTGTGTGTGGGTGTGTAGTATGAGAGAAGAATGACTTAAACATTCACACTCTCTTTTCATTGTATATTTTTAATACAAATATCACTAAAGATTTTATTTAATCTAGTTGTATCAAAATCGAATGTCTATATTGTTGTGTGAGATGATACACGGTAATAATTGATTAATTATAGATATGAATAAAGTGAGAATAGATATTTTATTGAAATTGAAAGAATACAATATTAGAAAAGTAAGAAAAATATTTAGAAGATGAAAATAAAATGTTTTGTTTTATTATTTCGACAAAAATAATTGGGCTCAATTAAAGAATAATCGTGATAGGTGAACATTGAATGATAATAAGAGCGTTACAATTAATGTTCTAAAAACAATACATTTATGAGTAAAATATGATTAAGAAAAGGAGAATAGATTCTGATAACATACTTGACAACAATACATGTTTTGTTGACATCCTGTAGTTTGATCACCACTGCCTGAATTTGAACATGCTGACTCTGAGAATATTGATAAAAATAATTATTTGTTTATGAAAGAATATGAAAGTAAAGCTGATACATACGATGTTGCTGCTGACTGTTAAAAAACAAGTTTGAAAGACTGTTTCCATTTTGTAACTGAGCAGTATCTAAAGTAATATTATACTTGTTATAAAACAAGAAAGAAATAATAAACTTTATGATGAAAGATAGTAAAATCTAACTTTCAACATGATAAATCATTAAACTTACTTGAGTTGTCGACGTTATTACAACAGTACTGATCTCCTGTGGTACATTGATTAGTTGTATTTGTGGTAGTTGACTGTTGATTAGTATTAGAGTTTTGTTCTGCTGAATTTGAACCAGATGATGGTTGTTCATCGCTCTTATCATTACAGTTGCCTGTGTTTGTTGATGATGATGCACTAGTAGCAATCACAATAGCACCAATAATCATAATACACAAGTATTTTGAGATTTGCATTGTTAATATCGACTAGTTGAATTTGATTGTTGATCAGTTAACTGGTAAATATTGAGTGAATGAGATATATTATGTATAGATTCTGAAAGGTGTTTATATACAAAATATATGATCATTGATGTGGAAAAGAGTATGCTTTTGTTTAATCTTCAAACGTCAATCTTATGATTTATTTTGTTGAATTGAAGAAATACATACAAAGAGAATCATGTCTGGATTTGGTCATAATTATTGGCTGACGTCAAAAACAAGATTATATTTAACATCAGCATAGTTAAGAGAGTGTATTGATGACGTTATCTTGTTGTGTATTTGGTGAGTGTATAATATGTATTTGTATAATATTCATGTTTTATAAAGGAAAGGAAAGGAAAGGAAAGAAAGAGAGTTAAAGGTGGAGAAATGAATATAGAGACAAAAGGTGCACTTGATAATATAAAAAGAGTATTAAACTTATGTCTGTAGAAATGAGTGATATTTTTAGATGTGAAAAAAGAATCAAAATGAATGTTGGTTTTAATTTTGAATGTTTTCTAAAAAAAAAATCAAATTAATAAGAAACTATTTATTATTGATATTATTAGAATTGAATGATCTTTATCATAAAACATATAGATGAAATAACAGTTAGGAATGAAATCTATGTATATTTTTAAAAAGTTTCAATGATGTAAAAAGTAAAAACTATGAGGTATCTGGAAAAATTTCGTAGCATTTTTTTAAATGAATAACATTAATGTAATATAGTGCATATCTAATAATATTCAAACAAAATAATATGAATCTTAACTAATCCAGATTTTAGAAGAAACTTCGAAGAATAATTAATTATTAAACTCCTATGAAGAACGGTAAATATTTAGTAAATGTCAATTTTATTCAAGATTCCAATAAAAGACTTCTATCATTATCAGAAATAATAATAGGGAAGTGGATTTACAATATATGCATATATGTGAACAAGTTGTTGATGGATGGAAAATTGAAGAACAGAAAAAAAGAAGGAGATGAATTATATTTTGAATTATTGTTATTCTTAAAACATATCATAACTTGCTGAATTGTTTGAAACTGTTGTTTAATGTGAATAGATGCTATTTAAAAATAATATCAGGTAGATATCCTTCTTGCATACTAATTCTAATGGTGGATTTGTCAGTGGTGAGACATGAAATATATGTTTTTGTTCATTAGTATGTTTTACAATATTTGAAGATTCTGTTTGATTTGTAATATCAATTATGTGTTCTTTCATTCTAGATTCTTTTTTCTACTCGTTTCATTAATGTAATATTTACGACAATTTAATCATAGAATTTTTGTAAAATAATATCTCATTCTTTTTTAAAGAGAGTAATACAGTCGATCTTAAATATTTTTCCTAAGCATACATTGATTTATGTACGAGATATAAGATTTTTAGACATTTGCTTAATAATGAAATACATATATGATTGCCATGAATTAATATACAATATGAACACAAATATGAAAAAACTTTATTTAACATAGTAAATTTTGCCATCCATTTGTAGTTGCATAGGTCTTAGACAACTCATTTATTAACCTCACGTATTATATATTACTATCGTCGACAATTTCTGAATCAGTCGGAAGTTATAGTTACTTACATACTCATTCGTATTTCACATGTCATTATATCAAACAGTTTTACCAAGTTAAAAAACGATTTTCATTTTTATGTGCATATTTTATAATCATTTAATTCTGTGAACTAAGATTATTGATTCTTGTCTATAATAAAAGAGACAAAAATAATTTTTTTTCTTTATTTGTAATATCTGTATTTGCTGTTGAGATTTCATTGTTTTACTAATTATCTCTTCCTCACATATAGCTCTTTGAATTAGATGTAAGTATATATACATCAGTGCCAGATCATTAATGTAACTAATCGTTAATAACTTCCTTATGGTAATACATTATATTGTTTAATCGCAGTATCCATAAAGTGTTAATGAAAACTTGAATTTTGAATTAATTGATTATTCTTGCATTACTACTAGTCCGATTGCCACGAATTATGAATATATATCAAATATTTTTTACTTAGTATTCGCTGATTTCTAACAATACCGTTGACGAATAATATTTTTATGTACTCATACCGATTCATCGCAATCGACCAAATAGTTAACCTCTCTGTTCAGTGAAAGATTCAATGCAGTTAACCATCAGTTTTCGAGTGACTTGAACAGCATGGGTTATGGAATAGATTTAGATATACACTACTCTCTCATATTTCATATAAATTCAATGAGATTAGATACAAGTCATCTGGAATGTTATACAACATGAACTTATGATTTGATTGCTTCACAATTTTTATATAGAGCAGACCAAATATTCTTAACTGACATACTTAATTCGTCTCTGAAGAATAGAAGAAAGAATTGACAAAGTTAATAATTGCTAATTATCGAGAATAATCAGAAGGTTGATATTATAATACTTTAATAGTCCTTTTTTTTTGCTCATTCATTATGATGATTAGACATGGATCATCAACGCAATTTGTATTTCTCTGTTTTCGTTTAGGCTCTTGATTTATATGCAGTCGTGCTCTGTATAAAACTTAGTTTTGTTAATTTTTCGAAACTATTTCAACCAGGAACGTTTCTATCATAAAAAATCAATGTTAATAAAAGCAATAATTACTGTCCGTACATACATTTTAATCAGTCTGACAAAACTAGTAAAACGTATCGATCTTTACTATTTATTAGTCTCATATCTGTCCGGGTTACACAAAAACGTTTTCCAAGTACCAACTAATATTGTTCTTAATATATAAAATGAGTTTTCGAAATTAATTCTTACGCACTGTAAACGATAGTATTACTATAACTTTCAAATATCCATATAGAAACAATTTGACTTTTATTCATCAATATCCAAGAAGTAAAGATTCTTTTAATTAATTATCATTTTTTGTTATTTACATATAATAGAACATATTTTTTTCCATTTATTTATTATTATACAAATTGGCGTAGAAAAATTATATAAGAAAGTTTATTTACCTATGAAATGCAAGAGAAATATCTAAATGATATTAACTTTAGATAGCATCTTTTCATAAAAAATAACAGTCTTAGACAATTTACCGAGTCATAATATTTTTTAAGAACAACAATTTGTTTTGTATGAATATTATTAGGTATATACTATACTATATAAATGTTGTTCATTCAAAAGACTCTGAAATGTTTCTACATATCGTATAGTTTTTACTATTTACATCATTGAAACTTTTACAATGTATATATATTCTGTCTAATTAATATTTTATCTATATATTTTATGATGAAGATTATTTGACTCTAATAATATCAATAATGAATAATTTCTCATTAGCTTGTTCTTCTTTTTTTTAAGAAAATAAAATTCATTGATTCCCACACACGATATCATTTAGAATTAAAATTAACATTCATTTTTGTTTCTTTTTCACATCTTAAAAATATCACTCATTTCTACAATAATAAATCTAATATTTTTCTCATATTATTAAGTGCACCTTTTGTCTTACTATTTTTATCTCATTTTTTTGCTCGTTCTCTTATAAACTATGAATATTATACAAATACATATTATACACTCATCAAACACGCAATAAAATAACGTCATTATTACACTCTCTTAACTGTTTTCATGCTAAATATAATCTTGTTTTTGACGTCAATGAAAAATTATGAACAAAACCAGATGTGATTTTCTTTGTATGTACATCTCAAATAAGAAAAACAAATAGTAAGATTGACGTTTGAAGACTAAACAAAAGCATAGCTTTTTTCCACATCAATGATCATATATTTTGTATATAAACCCTTTTCAAAATCTATACATAATATATCTCATTCATTCAATATTTACCAGTTAACTGATCAACAATCAAATTCTACTAGTCGATATCAACAATGCAAATCTCGAAATATTTATGTGTTATGATTATTGGTGCTATTGTGATTGCTGCTAGTGCATCACCATTAAGAAAAAAACGCAGTTGTAAGGATAACAGTGGTCAACAATCATCAGGCAGCTCAGGTCCAACCTATTATGTTAATAATCAACAGTCAAATACCACAAGTACAACTAATCAATGTAGCACAGGAAATCAGTACTGTTGCAATAACGTTGCTAACTCAAGTAAGTTTAACGATTTATCATGTTCAAAGCTAGATTTTACTATCTTTCATGATAAAGTTTATTGTTTCTTTCTTGTTTTATAACAACTATAATATTGTTTTAGATAATGCTCAGTTACAAAATGGAAATAGCGACGAAACTGGATCAATATTTTATCATAAGCAGACTAATCAACAGTGTATGTTTCATTTTTGTTTTTACATTCTTTCATAAATAAATAATTGTTTTTATTCATATTTTCAGTAGCATGTAATAATTACAATTCAGGCAGTGGTAGTCAAACTAATGGATGTACTACAAACATGTATTGTTGTCAAGTATGTTATTTAAATCTATTCTCCTTTTCTTATTCACATTTTACCCATAAACTTATTAATTTTAGGGTAACAGTGGCTACTCTGTTATTAATTTCTCATGTTCACCGATTACTCTTGATCTTAGTAGTATTACCGGTTTTCGTCGTTAAAATAGTAAAACAAGACATTTTATTTTTATTTTCTAAATATTTTTCTTATTTTTCTAATATTTTATTCTCGTATTTTCAATAAAAAATATTTATTCTCGCTTTTTCTATATATGTATAATTAATAAATTATCACAAAATATCATCTCACAAAATAATACAGACATTCGATTTTAATTTAACTATATTATTTAAAATATTTTGTGATGTTTATAATGAAAGCGTACAATGAGAAGAACAAATATGTTGATTTAATTTCTATAATAGATGAAAAAAGCTTGAAAATGATAAAAGACAACAATCAATACAAAAAACATCTATAACGGTCACCAAGAGTAATTGATGAATATATATTATCAACTGCAGATTTTGAAAAAAGTTATTTCACATAAATTATCAATGTTTCAAAGATGATATCTATTTTATTTTGCTCGATTTCAGAATATGATATAAGTTTCATATGTTTGTTTCTTTTATTATGATGACTTGCTATAGTATATTTATGTATAAACATGTCATATTCTGAACTAAGATCATGAAAGTAGTTTTATTTAAAACTTCCAGCTATTTTCAAATGGATGTTGTTTTTTTAGCTATTGCTCATAAAGAATGTTATCAGATAGTGACATATCATTTGATATTATCAATAGCAAAAGAAATTGAGTCAAATTCGAATAGCTACCGACAGTTTAATACCAAGGAATAGTGTTTTCATTGTATTAATTTATTCAAGAAACAACAAATCTCTTGATAATAAAAATATGTATAGACATCAAAAAATAATATTATCAACAACAAAAAACCATGTTTTACGCATGATTTTGTAGTCAATGATTCATTCTATATTATATAAAACAGCAACAACACACTGTATGTATATATATACTAATACACGTGATACAATATAATTGTATTACTCATCACAATATTCATATCATATTAAACTATAATGTTTTTCATTATTAACAGATCTAAATAAATAGTAGAAAGATTTCAACTACATTTGTTAACATAAAATGCAATTGAACATCATGCATATATATATATCTGTTGTTTTCTCCTATGATATTCAAGCTATTTTTATCTATAAATATAACTGATAATAGAACTTAAATCAACATTCTTGTTTTGCTTCATTGTAAATTTTCAATACAAATTAGAATGAAAGATTTTATTTAATATAGTTGAATTAAAACTAATTTCATGGCATACATCAAACAGCTATGGTACCACTTCATTGTTCAAAAAAGAAACTGAAATTATAAGATGAGATGAACCCATTAACATAACATTTGCATACTCTAGTTTGAACGTTTAAAGACGAATTTCTAAATTTGAAAAAAGACTTCTTAGTATTTAGTTCGAGTCTATTTGATGTTGAATTTCATGTTATTTACACAGTTTACTCGATAACATTAAGATAGTATTTATTGTTAAATTATCTTAGAAAAGTTGAAAAAAATATAGTAAAAAATATGATTTCCAATATGGAAAACGATATACGAACCGAAATGAATCCGAATTATGGACATTCATAGTATTAGGTCAAAGATATATAAATAAATAGCTGATTGAACATCTCCATGGTGATATTCCATAGACATCAGAAATAAGAGAAGTACTACAACAAATATAGAACGAAATAAAAAAGGATCTAGTAAAATACGTTCGTTTATTTAAAAAAGCAAAGAAGAGCTGAAGATATATCGATACTCAACGACGTAAGATCTGCACCATGTCGATGTAGATCGTTAGTTCTATTATCTTCTAATAATACCAGATAAAGTGAAAGTATTTTGTAATCTTTTACATTTCATCAACACATCGACTAATTACATCATGTTCATTACATATTTTAATATCAATCTGATTCTACAAATATAAGTTTGCATAGTTGTCTTTCTCTAATATTAGATAATTAAAAACAAAAGAACTGAAAATGTAATCTGATATATAAAATTTTAGACATCATACATATATTAATCGAAAATGATATTTTCTTCTTTATTATAATCATTACTGTAAATTGTATTTTGATTTCGACATATATATATTAATACATTATCTCAATTAAATGTACAAAAATCTTTCTGAATTTTACAAAACCTGTTTTATCATATAATCTAAGATTGTACTAACCAATTTGCATATTTAACATCAATTCTCGACTATTCTCTTATCTTAAAACACAGCTATCATTTTATTTATACAAATATAAATGTTTGTTTTCGATTACAACAAAGTCTGTTACAATTTATCTACCATTATGATATCCATTTTGTACTATTCTATTCATCTTACGAGCAATTATTGCACACATGTAATAACCGTCACACTCATGTGCAAAATACCTTAAATGGAATAAATTTATATATATGAATGTAATTTCTATACTCATTAGATCTCGTTCTGCATTTATTAAATCGAAATGGATCTTACTCATAGGTATTTCATCTTCAGATTTACCACTAAAATTAGAAATTTTTACTATATAAATTGACAAATTATCTTCTTTTACCCATATATTGTTTTCCTTTTAATCAATAGAAAGATCAGACTCATATTGTTACGAATAATCACATTTTCGAATACACTCTAACATCCTCTATTTTTATGTCATAGCAATAAATGATCAAATACATCTATTGTTCTTTAACTTGTTATAAGAAATAATCTATTGAATTGATTAGATATTAACTATTTAAACTTTCAGAAAAACATTCTTTATTCAATAATATTATTTTTTGATTCCAAAGTGATAAGTAATCCACTTCAACATTGATATTTACTACAAAATACTCAAATCATCTTACGGTACTTACAGAATTGCAGTATGCTAGTTCGACTGTTTCTATCAAAATGAAAGTATTTGCCGCAAATTTATAAAATTTGAAGTAAAAGTTTCCAAGATCAAGGATTCTGAATCTATAATTAATTTTCAAAGTTTCTTTTCTTCATCTGACAAATGTTCTTCTGTAAAAAAAATGAATAATTCCGATGTAGAATGATCTATGGAATACGGTAGTAGCTTCAAGCGCTAATAGATATTTAGGTGTTACTTTGACCTTGAAGATTCCGAATCTATATTTTTTCCTTGTTTTATTTCTTACGTATACTGTCTATTATCTTTCTTTAATTTATTTCACACTCAACTATTTCTATTCATATAAATTTCATACGATTTCATTCGTTTTAAATTATAATATGTATATGCATCATAAATAAATAGTCATGAAATAAAGGTAAATAACAATTTGCATGTTGTTTTTCTTTAGATCTGTATGTAAAATTGATTATTTTCAATACAGAAAATTTTATTTTCTAATTTATCGTTTTTGTGAGTACATCATGATATAATCTCAAAGATTCGATTGAAAATATCAATATTCTTTTCTATTTAATATTAATGATATAAAGTATATCATTTTATTTGATTTTTAGAACGTAAAAGATGATTGCTTTAGATAGTGTCAATAACGTTAATATGTTAGTGCAAAGAAATCAACGACGTATAATTTATTATCCTGTCATCATATAATGATCGAGCACGTGTTTAATACCTTGTCTAACAATCATATATCGACAGCGATTATATTGCGAGAGAAAATAATCGATTTCTCAAGACAATTATTATCGATTATTCACATTTACGTAGATACGATACAATAAACTGATCTGATATTTGAATGAAAACAAAACAATAAAAGGATTGTTTTTATAAATAGATCTAGAAAAATTTTGAAATTAAAATTACTGCACGGGAAGATAGTTCGTGTTCACTTATTTTAGAAACAACATGACTTTCAAATCGATATCGATTTTTGATAAACTTTATCATTTACTTCTTAAAAAACAAACTTTTTTCAAAAAAAATCTTTTTCTTAACATATACCTTTTCAATCACGCATCCGACATTTCTCTGTCTAGACTCGTTTGAAAGAGCCTGTCAAGCTTCAATGCAGTATAGAGTCCTTCTTTTAATTGATCTGTTTTATTCATGATATATACACACACTCTAATACCCATTTTTGCCGGGTTGCATCAGACCTTGATTTTATGATACTATTTTGGCTAAAACTTTCAGATCATTCGAATGATTGATTTTTGAAGGATGTGAGAGACCTTAATAGATTGAATAAAATACTTAAATGACTTACAATCTTCGTCTTTGAACGAATTATTTCTTATTTCTAAAATTTTTTTCATTGAAATTAAATATCAGAAATTTACCTAATTCAGATGTATGTTTTGTTTTTGTATAATTCTTCATGAAAATAAATATTCAAATTTCGATAGAATCAATTGTAAATATTTTCAACTAGAAAAACCATTTCCAGTTAGGTCCTTGGCAGTATGAAATACAAAAAAATGTTTTTGCTTTATTTATTTATTATGAATATTTGAAATATCAAGACATGGTGAAGAACTACACCCAAACAGTTTTGAGTTCTATACATGTGTAATTATAATTATAATTAAGTTATTCATTTGATAGTTTTTACTGTCTAGACATGCAACATTACATTCTCTGATATATATGTATATGAATATTTCGGTTAATAATTAATTATACATCATTTACTTAAAAATCATACTGATATTATATCAAAAATGAAAATCTTGAATTTTTTTCTCCTTGTATTGTTGTTGTTTTTCCAAAATTATCATTTCTATTATTGTCAATATGAAGCAAAAATAAATATTATAGGAAATATTAATTAAATCAATACGGTTACTTCAAGGTTTTTAATCAACATTATCATTGAAAACTAAAAATTGTTATTGATAAGTAAAACATACTTTTATTTGTGTTAGACTAGAAAAGTTAAGTAAACTAAATATCGTAGCTGTGAAAATTTTCTTCATTAGTTATCACCATTAAATACTAAAAGTTATTTATTCATACTTGCAATATATATCAGATAATTTTTATTTTCTATCTAACTTAACATGATTAATTGAATAAAATAAAGTATATCTATGATGCATCTAAAAAAATTTGCGACCCTCTTTAGATCGATTAGATTCCATATCAATGTTATTTTTCACATATTCTGAATAAAAGCGATATATTGTCTCTGATTTAATTTCTGATATACATTTTTATCATTCTTTCCGCACGTACTATAATGTGTAATGATTAAAATCTTCTCGTTTAGTTTTGTTTTGAAGATTAGTAATATTTTTCCCATTATGAAAATATTTTTTAATTAAATCAATCACTATCTTTTTTTCCAAGTAAATAAGATGGCTTTCTGCCTTGTTTATTTCATATTAAAATTTAAAATACGTAATACATCATATTTATTTAACAAAGGGCATTCAACTGTGACGTAATTCTTATATAGAATATACAATGTTTTGTAATTTTTGCGTTATACAATGATTGGTCTATTTTGTTTTGTAGATAATGGTTTTTTTTCTCCTTTGTGTATTTTTATATCAACAAAAAATAAAAATCATCAATATTGGCAAAATGAAAGCGGTTTTCATCATGTTTTTTTCTCTTCGCTTGACGGTTCTGGTTGAATGGGCATCGGGTTAACCCATCAAACCATGTAAACGTGCATTAGAGACGCGAAAAAAAAAGAATGTAAAGTGCAAAGTATGGTGGTTTGTGTAGAATACCACATGTGGCAAGATGGAGATACGTATCAATTGAAAGTATAGTTATCGTTGATCAATAACCTTGAGAAAAAAAAAAATCGAAAAAAAGAGAAATGCGACAGAGAAGGGCTACCACCATCGTTTTTCTCTCTCTTGCAAACTAGGAGGGTATAAATACGCAACATTTATCATTATAGAAATGCTTTCATTTGAAGCTTAATATTCTAGTAGCCCCTATTTTTACTTTCATTTCCTAAATCATGGTTGCCATCGATCGTGTTGGACATGTCTATCCATCAGTTCATCTACAAGAGATGCTTAATCTTGCACAAAAACCAGCACAATTACAAACACCAACTCAATATGGAAGCGTTCCATTTAACGAAACTGTAGCTAGTGTTATGAACGGAGATGCTATGCAGAAGATTACACCCGAACAATTTGGACTTGCTAACAATCCATCATTACAATTTGCAACACCTGGCGGTGGATTCATTCAAGTTTTTGGCCCATTGAAAACACCTGGTAACGATAAATTTTTTCATGATCCCAACCCAGTTGTTATTCAAAAGAAATCAAAACCTATTACATACGTACAAAAAATTAATTTAGCTTATTATAAACCACCTGCACCACCAGCACCAGGTCCAGTTATCATCAAAGAAGTATGTATTTCTACAATTTATTATTTCATTTCTAATATTTCAATATTCTTCTAAGGTACGACCACCTCAGGCACCAGTTCCACCACCACTTTTTGTTCGTATTCAACCACCACCACCACCAGAACAAGCTCCAATAGTCATTCGTGAAGCTCCACCACCACGCCCAAAACATATTCCAGTAAATATTTTCTTTCCTATATTATCTTTATAATAATCTAATCATTTGTTTTTTCTTTCTTATTAGACCACTCATTTAACAAAAGTCTTACCAGCTATTCCAGTTCCACCACCAAATGTTCATGTACGTAATGCTCCTGATCAAGCAACACTTGAAAAGACTTTAAATGGTTTGGGTCTTACATCTTTATTACAATAAGAAAGAAAAATCAACAAAACATAAACTATAACTTTTTTTTCTTCTTTAAATTGTATTTTGTATGATGAGTATAGATAATTTATTTTTTTATTTAAATATTCATAACGGTGGTTTGTGCGAGGATGCAATCAATCTATCTCTTGTTCATTTTTCTTCATATACTTATATTCTATTTTCTTCTTTTTTTTCGATTTTCTTTTTGTGCATGAAGTATGTATTTTGCGATGTTATCCTTCTTATTATCAGTTTTTTTCTTGTATCTGTGTCCCGTATTATCGACATGACAACGTGGAATATTTTTATGGTATTCCTGGTCATCCGATGGTTCGGTTGAAACGGTCGTGAACAATTTTGATAAACAAAGAATGATCAACACGCTATGAAATTTCGAATATTTAATGTTCGAAACAAAAAAATTCGTTAAAACATACAAAAAAAACGATTAAAATAAAAATAAGCTCCGATCAGTGTTTGAAATTGTTCTTATTTTCGTAATTAGATATATGTTAGGTGACAACAACAACAAAAAAAAAAGGAGTATGACGTAGTTTTATAATCGAAAAAGAAAATGTAAACATCATTAAAATTATCCATTTGTAATATCTATGTATATTGCATCATCGGCTACGTCGCTTGATGACGTACATAGATACCTGGAGAAAGCAAATAGCAAATTTTATATATTGACAGGTAATCAATAAGATTTGTATATCATAATATAATGAAATTTTTACGAAAAAGAAGGTGACTAATGATGATCATAATAAAAAATTATATTTTTTTTCTAAATAATACGCTGTCTATTGTAGGTTTCTATTAAGATAAATAAGTATAGTTTGTTTTTGTAAATATAAAGATATGCGTAATAAGAATAATCATTTCGATTGTGTTTATTTTATAAGTAATGTAACAGTACTATTGTTATTTTAATTTTTTCCTTGCATTTCATGGTCAATATCAAGTATTGTTTGAAATATGAATACTGAATGTTAATTTTATAAGGATAGATGTTGGTGAGAAAGTATAAAAGTATTTTTATTTTGTTTTGAATCTGAATGATTCTTATATTGACAGATATTAAAATGTGACTTCTCAAATACGAATCGAATGTGAGAAAACAAAGATAATTATTCAACCAGAACTTGTTGTTTCAATCATGGTAATAATAAGCAACAAAAATGGTTCGAATTAAATCGGTGGTTTTTTGGTTTTCTATTAATTTTTATTTTATTGAGGTTTAATAAAAATTTTCATATACATTTTTTATTCATTCTTAATGTAACTATTATAATATAAGTTAGATTTTTCTTGTACTTTTTTCAATTTCTTATCTCTATCAATCATGATTGATGATATATCATTTATCTTGATATATTATATTGATTAAAAAAATTTGAAATATTTTCTATAATCAATGATCATTTATCTTCAATAACAATTCGGTCGTGACTTTACGTTTTTTTGATTAAAAAAAATGTAATATATCTTAATTATTATCTCAAATAAACAGTAATGTATTGACGTCAGAGCAATGATGCTTAACTCTTGATACTAAATTTTATCTATATCAAGACAAGAAAAAAAAATACAATCATTCATATATATGATTTTTATTAAAAATTAGAAAAAAAAATATATCAATTCAATAGCATTTAAATAAAAATAATAATAGTTAATACTAACTATTGTACTGTAATGATACGAAAAATAATTTCATGCTTATGAAAACCTAGAAGATCCTTTTAGAAATATTTTAAATTGTTAAAAAACTATTTTTAGAGTTTCAATTTCGTTGTAAACATGTTTTTGTCCGGTATCTATTTGCCTTTAGTATATCATGCACGAACAATATTTTCATAAATAATATAACTAATCACGGCTAATAGATGTTAATTACAAGAAAAATGCCAAAATATTTTTCTCTACTATAGAAAGTTTGAAATGTGTACTACTAATTAATTCAAATTGTACATATGATAACCGTACAAGATTTGTTTTTCACATGACAATAAGAATTATATTTGAACAATTTGACGTATAAATATTTCTTGTCTAATAGATGACGCACTGTACCAACACTGCCTATTCTTTACATCGTTCATTTTTTATGATTAATTCTGTTAATAATCAAATTGTTTTTTATTTTTTCATAAAATGTATTATTATATCTGATAAATATCAAATCTACTAGTCTAATCTTCATTTGTCTGTAATGTCTATCTAAAAAAGTAATGATTAATAAGAATTAACTGTGGAATACCTATGGCAACCTGAAACGAAAACTAAATCAGCATGAAAATTCAAATGTTATGTTGTTTTCGATTGTTTTGTATTTACTCAAAATATTTTGTTAAAAAAA